CGCGTTGTCTGCAATGTAATATTCATAGCAAATCAAGGGCAGATGTTTCGGATTAAATAGTAGAAGGGGGTGCATAATACGATCCACCAAACCTAATCGAAAAGAAACAAATTAGGGAAGTCTACATGAGATTAAGTGCGAATTAGCATGCTACCCTGGTAAAAATTTCTAAGTCTATGGCAGAAAGGTGGTTCAGGTAATTGCCTAACGCTCGGTTGTGGCAAAAATAAAGAATCCCGAGATAAAAAATATGAAATATTAAGATTACAAGGGGTCACAGTCGAGCTCAACTTTGATTGCGTGGAGAAAAAAAGGCAATTTTTATTCTCGTTGTGCCTCCGTGATCCTTGGATGCTTTATTTTATTCCTGGTTGGGGGAGCAGGATCAAAGGATCGTCCAGGCCATTGCAGAAGATAACTCCAACTTACTATACTTCTTGAAATATTTTGAAAAATTAATTATAATTCGTCAATACCCCGAGTTTTGATTAATATTCTAGAGTTGCTAGATGAAAAGCTATGACAGGGTGTAAAAGGAAAGTTCTGTTTTTTTCGGTCCATTATCTTCTAACACATTAAGCGTCATACCGGTGAAATATGCATAATAACAGCATACATAATACAGGGGAAGCCCCGCGGGATGTCTGACGCGCCGAGTTTTGTGGGGCTGCCCCACATACCTAAAACCGAAATTGCAATTTGAATTTTTAACGAAACTTTGCGAGGCGACTTCATTAATCGCGTGGTTTACACACACACACCCAACAAAATGGTATTTATTTCATTGCACTATTGGTGGTAAATTTATTTCCATTACCGATCCACTTTGTGGCGTTATTCGAGTTTCCGATGTGGAAGCAGGAAGGAAATGATTGGCAAATGTCAGGACGCATTAGTGGCTAAATGGTCTGCCACGCGTCGCGAGAAAATAATAAAAGAGATCTGGAGAACAGTGCAGGAGGTAGGATTTTGTCTTGTTTGCGTCCTGACGCTTGCATTAATTGGGGCGAAGGTGGCTGTAATTGGTAATTGTGTTAAATTGCTGCGTGAGAAAATCGATATTGACGCGTCGTGGCGCGAATTTACAGCATTATTCGGGAAGATAGTGAGGTTATGTGCCGCCTATGGGGCCATCCATCACGAGACGGGCCGGTTAGTGACAGGTAGCCCTTAATTAATATAGAAGCGCTCCGCCCTGCTTTTCACGTCACCTCTCTAATGGATTTCCACCCCCGAATAAACTTTTAAATTACTCACTGCATAAATCTTACAATATATGTTTTCATATTAAATTTTGCTCTTCTTAAATCTTCCGACTTTCTAAAACCTATATATGCGTGATTTTAATATTAATTCCGCGACCGTTACCTTAACTTTGATGATAAAAATTAAATTTTATAGGCGATATAATATTTTTTATTATTATTACTTTACGAAATCACGGCATAAACATAAAATAAAAGAGGAAATAAAAGAGATATAAAGCGTAAAACCTTCCCCATATAGAAGCCCTATAATGGGGTGCCCATATTGCCTACTGGTGTTTCGGGAATGAATTATGGACCTTTCCCTACTTCCACATTTACTCCCACTTTTGGTTGGTAATTAAACACTGTCTGCATCGGATCGAAAAAATACCAATACATTTTCTGTAAAAATGACAGTTAAAATTCCGGCGACGGCATTTCGCAATGAAAGCTATCATATTTATCCGGAGCAAAGCGCGGCCCGGAGCGGGGACCGGAGTTTGGCCAACTGGATGCTACTCTCTGATCCCGCCGGAGAGTTATGTATCTTGTAGATTTATGTATAAAGTGTAATACCGGCAAAGCCGGCCGTTGCTAAGCCTTCATAGTGAAACACGATCTGGACGTGTGCGTTTATATATCGCTATTTTACACATTGGGGGCCCCATCGACTAACTTAATAGGTATATGGCAAATACAACCGAATCTATTTTGGAAATTACTAAACGAAATGGTGGTAGTGAAGATATTAAATTAATATAAAATATAGAAATATGAAAAGTTTTGCGAATTTTTAAATAAACTTGAAATAATTACTTCGATGCTTCAAGGAAACTACAAATATTCGCATTCCTCAAACGACTCTTTTTAATTAAAATATAATTATTAAATACATACATGTCTTAGGTATTTCTTGTTGGTCCATGAAAATGGAATGAAGGAAGGCGGATTAAAAAGCAAAAAAAGCATTGCTCATCTCTAAGTACGCGTTTTTATTTTACATTGAAATAAAAGGTCCTAATTAAACATAAAAAATACAAATTAAATCACAAAAGTAACAAAAAATAAAATAAATGTTTAATACTTATAAAACTATAGGTACAGGTATTTTCATTGTTACAAATTAAACAGGTGATATTCAATTTTAAGACAAAAGTCTCCTTTGAACATATATTGAAAAATGCTACGCAAAAGGTGCGTCTTGTAATAGGTTTTTCCAATATTTCCGAAACCATTTAAAAAAAAAACAACAAAATTTGGTACCCTGATTAAAAATTTTGCCATTTCATCTTGGTATTTGTTTAGGTCAGCTGTACCTAATTTTGTAATTGTATCTATTCTGAAATACATATTAGGAAAAATTCTTTAAAAAACGCACTCCTTTGCATCTTCTTATTTAAAAATCGATAACTTTGTCATTTTTAATTATTTTGAAGTCGTATTTAGGCAAATGAAAAACAAAAGTTAAATCTTTCCTTTGGTGTATTCATAATTAGAAAAATAATCAACAAATCTTCAAAATTTAAGATTACGTCTGGAAAATTTCAAACATCCATAACTCAATTTTTTCAAATAGAAAGCTCTAATATTTTCTTCACTAAATGAAGGAAAATTTAATTAAGTATCGATCTGTATCAACATTCTTATACCTAAGTATGATGCCTAATACATACTTAGACTTTTAAATTTGTTGGATTAGCACATTCCTATTTACACTAAATGGAGAAAAATTTAATTCTGCTTCGATGTGTTTACGTTTATATCTATGTTTATTAGTTTTTAAGTTATAGTAAGTAACTTCTTTTGATATTGTAAAATATTTATTAGCCGTATATAGTTTAGCATTTCTAGTATGAAAATAAGAACAAATAGAAAATCAAAGTTATTCAAATTTAGATTAAATAAAGTTAATTTGTGTTTATGAAAGGAATAACACAGTAATTGTAAAAAAATGACGTTTTTTTCAGTATATATTTCTATGTCAAACTATGCGAAAACTACTATGGATAGTAATAAATTTCTTCTTGTAAAAAATGTTAGTATAACTTGGGAAAAATCATTAAACTTAGGTATAAAGAAAGTTTCCCAGACGTACCTAATCTTAACTTTTGGAGATTTCTTAATTATTTTTCTAATTATGATTACACCAAAGGAAAGATTTAACCTTTATCTTTCATATGCCCAAATACTACGTCAAAATAATTAAAAATGACAAAGTAATGGATTTTTGAATAAGAAGATGCAAATCCAAAAAAAATTCCAAAAGTCTAAATATTTTGAAAACGTTTAAACTTAAGTATAGGGAAGGCTGATAAAAACTCTCTTAAATCACTTGAGTAATTCAATGACGTAATAAAAAACTTATAGCTTTCTATTTAAAATAACGAAGTTGATACCCACTTCCGGTATAACCAAAAGTATCGCCATCTTTAAAATATTTTTATTGAGCAGGACCTAATCGATTATGACTATAAACAAAATTTTACATAAATATATCATTGTTGCCTCTAATGAGGAGTTTAGTCGAAACAGCTTGTATAATTAAGTATAATTTATTAAGCAATAGTGAGAAGAATTAAACTTGAAACTTTTCAAATTTTTTGCTCTATGACTAAAAATTTGTACCTATAAAGTCATAATTACCGACACTAAATTTTGGAATGTAATAAACTTAATCTTTAAATTTGTAATAATGCTATAGTAAGTTTTAAATTGAACATTGGTACAAAAAGAAAAAATGTATTTATTAAAAGTGGTAAAATTAGAAGAGGTGCGTTCCAATCGGCTTTGCATCCTGTGGCTCTCCTTCAAATTACTATGATTCATTAAAAGTAACTTATATTTGTGTTAAACTTAACAAACACCAACTTGACAATATAATAAAGACGATGACGATGGATTGACATCGCACATTATTATTTTAAGTTTTAATAATAACCATTTTGCTACATTTTTGTATACAATTTGGTTTCATTTTTAAGCAATTTTTCACTCCAAGAACGTGAAATAACAATTTTGAACAAGAGTACAACATCGCGCGTCATCTGGTGAGTAAGGTTGTATTTCAAGTTAAAGCTACGTAGAAATCACTAACAGTTTACTTTAATTGTTAGACAGGTGGCAGTAATTTTATTTTAAAAACCACTTTTATTATTATGATAATATTTATTATTATAACTTAGTATTGAAAAATGTATGTAATTGCTTAGAAACTAAATGCAATTACAATTTAATATTACGTTCACAACTTTGATTATAACTTGATTGCTTTTAAAATTAATAAAATGTAAGGACTTTCGATTATTAATTGCGCTTATTAATTCTGCATTTAACTATTTTTGGACTAATATCATTTGCTTACAAATAATTTATTTCATTTAATCATCAAGTGTTACCTAACTTTAAAGTATGAACATTTATGAATTGGTCAATAATAAATACTCCTAGCAACTAAATTTTAATATCTTATGGGAAAAAATCACATTTTTTATTTTCTCTTGACAACATATGATAGTAAAATCTATGTCAATCATTTTAAAAAGTGTTTATAGCTATCACAATTTGTTGCCGGTTCAATGACTATGAATTTAATGAACCATTTATTAATAAGTAAAACAAAAATTAATTATTCTGATTTCTACTAAAATATTTGAGTAAAATACGACTGAAATAATTTCCAATCTTATTTTATCGTTTAGTGTTCATTTTAGTTTTTTCTATTTTTAAAGTGAAATTTGAATGAAATGAAAAAAATAAATACAAAATATATTTATTATAATTATAATAATACATAAATGCTACAAAATATAATAATATATTGTATATTATTTTAAAGAATAAGTCATGTAAATCAATAGTTGTGTCGCACCACCCTCTGCTGATGTGTAGCGTAACTAATAAAATCAATAAAACGCCTCTAAACCCTGTAGAGACCTAGCATATAGTATAATAATAATAGACTGCTTTTTCAAAGCAAATAGAAAACCTTAACCGGTTTAAATCAAAAACTAAGTACAATTATCCAGCTTCCTACGCAACAGCAAATGTTCCTCCCTTATCAACTCTGCCAAAAGCTTCATCGCTTTTTCGATCTGTTTAGGATTCGCTTTGCTGTAAGAAGCGCGAATATAGCTACACGCTTTGGTGGGATCGGCCATGAAAGCGTGTCCAGGTACGAAAGTAATACCCTTTTTCAAGCCTCTGCTCATCAGCATATCATACACATCAGACACTCCCCGGACTTTAATCCAAACAAACATTCCTCCGGTGGGTACGTTCCATTCGCACAAACCCTTCAAGTGACGCTCCATGGAGTCGATTGTGAGGTCTCGACGGGCCTTGTAGTATTTGCGAATGAAGCTCAAATGCTCCATGAATTTGTCAAAACCCCAAGCTTGAAAGAGGTTCTCCACGATGACCTGAAAGCGACAAGATAAGTGAGCGGGGGTTCATTGGGTCATTTCAACAACTGGATTTTACCAGTTTTGCGTCTTATCAGTTATCAGTAAAAATGTCGCCGGTTTTTTTAACAAGAAATCGAATCAACTGAAAGGTTTGACGCAAATTGGAGAAATAAACAGTGTTTTGCAATAATGAAAGAAAGATTGCAAATCAAAGAAATTCTTGTTTCAACATTTGGACGTATCAGAGGTTATCGGCCTCTGGTATTATGTTTCTCGATCTTTGACTTTCAGTTATCGGGACAATTAAATGTAACAACATCCGCATTTTGCAAAAAATACCTGAGATAAAGTGCTTGAATGTAGGTAGGAGCTCTGAATGTGTAATTCAATAGTTGAGATCAATTGTTTTGGTCCAGTGATCCATCCCAGTCGAAGACCAGAACTTAATACTTTTGATAAAGAATCGAATCTGAGTACACGACCCTCCGTATCCAAAGAGAGAAAACTTGGAGGATTTTCTTCCAAATAATGCATAAAGCAGTATGCATCGTCCTCCAGGATTAAAATATTGTATTTGCAACAAATTTCATAAATCTCCTTCCTCCTTTCTAACGACATGGTTGTCCCGGTTGGATTCGACCCAGTGGGGTTGATGTACATAATTTTGGGCATTTTCCACCCTCCACCCTCTTCCGTATACTTCGCTTTTCGGTCCTCCAGGACTTGTAACAATTTTTGGGCACTCATACCGAACTGATCTTGTTCAATAGCGATCAATTCAGCCTTGAATGGCTTCAACTACATGGCAATTAATTTTTACCAAAAACATGTTTTTCGTACTTACGACAATCTCCGCGCCGGTATAGAGAGGGTCTTGAACCAACACCGGATGACCTTCTTGGATGCAAAGCTCAATGGACTTGCTGATACCATCTTGGGACCCATTTGTAATTAATATTTCGCGGTCCTGCCAATTCGGCGGCTGATGGACTTTTTGAGTAAACTCTTTGAGGGTTTTAAGGAGTGGAGGGTATCCTTGAGTCGGGATGTATTGTAAAGCAGCGTTTAATTGTTGTCCTTGGATGGTGAGGGTTGAGCCGTCTTTCATCGAAATTTGCATTTTTTCGAAAGGGAATGTTACCTCGTTGGGCATACCTTCGGCCAAAGAGATTGTGTCTTTGGCTCCATAGGCGCGCTTGGCTGCGAGAAGTATGACATTAATTAATTTCCTAATTAATATAATTGGCTTACTTAATTCCCGTGTGAGAGCCGGTCTTCTCCTGGAAGAGTGAGGGGAGAGAAAATAGCTATAGTCGATGCTTGCCATTTTTATGTTTTTCTCGAATACACAGCACAGTAAACGAAGCTGACGCAACGGTGGGACAACTTTACGCTAAGAGGTTGTGAATGTGAATGTTGCTTGAAAGAGCGGAGATTTGTTTTATAGCGGGACCAAAGCCGAAAAGATGATGTAACCAAATCGGTAAAGACGTTGAAGATAAGCTGATGAAATTGTTTCTAGCCGAAAGTCAGACTCACAATTCGCCGATTAGGTTTATCAAAATTTTTGTTTGTAGCGTAATTGCGAATTGATAATTCTAACGAAAATATATTGTGAAATAAATAAGGAGCAATTATTATTATTATTATTTAGTTTTTGAGTCGAGTGATTGGTTATTTTTAAACATTTGATCGTGACTTGGCAAATCTCGAATTTTGGCTGTTTTTTATACTCAGTAAACATAAATAAAGCTGCAAAAGATTGTTAGTCACAGGAAAAGAAGAAAAATTTTTATAAAAACTATTTAACAGTAAACTGGTAGGTATTTAATCAAATTTAAACGTTAAGAGGTAGAACTAAAACTTTTTCCGCTTCAATTTTTTTTTTAATACTTGGGTATTGCGTCAGCCTATCTGTGGCAGAAGAGTAACATGCTCGATCAATAAAATAACCATTATTGAGTCGAATTTAAAAATATTGTTTACTATATTTAATAATTATGTAGTAATTTTTGTTTATAGATAAAATACAAAAACTGTTATATTCATATTTACCAACCATAATTATTAAAATTAAAAATTATTGATTGAAATTATAATGATTTTATTTTACTTTCTATACGCCGGTATTGATAGTTACATGTATTTTAAAAATTAGTATTATTTTTGATTCTAATTAACTGATGAAATAGTTAAAATTTGTAATTTGAAAAATCGTTAGATACTTTATAAGTTAATGCAGATTAAATAAGTGCAAAGATTTTTATTAGTCAAAATTTATAGTTTCATAAGCTACACTTTTTAAACATATTTTTAATACACCTTATGTTTGTCTGCAAAATTACTACAGCAGGAACAATTGTTGATAAAATTGCTGACCTTTGCAACGTTATAAACCCAAATTGCTTTAAAATAAATACTAACTAACGTTTTAAATGCTATCATTTGTAACACATAAAATTAGATAAACGTTACAACTGTACAATCTTTTAAATTTAAATCACTTTTTGTTCCGTTTTGTTCTTTTAGATTTAACAAAGAAAGAAAATAGAATTAAATTCTTATTAAATAATAATATAATTTAAAGTGATTTTAAACACATCAATTTGTAAAAAAATTGGACTTTGTGAATGTTTATTTTTGGGGATTTTTCCTTGACTCTATGTCATTGCAATTCTAATCTACAGTATGTCTCCGGATTGAGTTTACAAGAGGAAAAAAACTTTTAACTTTGATTTTACGTCAAAACTGCAAAGGAAACATTTTATTTAGCGGTAATAGGATTTCCAATGTTAAGATTACAAAAATACCAGAAATTTTTTCTTTCAAATTGTCAAGTTAAGCAAAATATTTTGTTAAATTAGTATTCAATTGCTTCTGTAACAGTTTTTGTTACTTCTGGGGGAGCGCACTATACTCCATTTCAACGATTTTAAATCAGATTCACACATTATTTCAGTATTTTCTTTGACATTTTTTAAATGTCAAAAATCAAACGCTGTTTGGATGGCCTACCACGTTTGGACCTTAACTTTGTTAGAATTTTATTTTATTCAAATTTATGACTAAAAATAATGTGATTGTGAATAAAATAGCATACAAACCTCGGTGGTAATGGCATTACCCTTTATTTTGTAATGTACTATTTTTGCTTCACCTAAAACGAACAAAGCTTTTTTTAATTTTTTAAATGGGAATCATAGATGGCTATGACATTTAAAAAGCGTGTTTTTTTCTTTAAAAAAATTATATTTGTAACAAAATATTATAACATATTTTTAGCAAAAAAATATCTTCGATTTTTGTTCCCAGTTAGCCATAAAAAAATGTTGCAATTTCAACTAAAAGGATTTAAACTATACATGTTATTTAACAAGTGTCACTAATGAAAAAGTTTTCTAAGCACTAAGTAATGAAAAAATACAAAATAATTCGTAAATCAACTTATGGTCCACTAATAACATTTCTTTGTTTTAAAACAAGCTAATATTATCATAGCAACTTCTAGTGACACAAAGTGTGGAAAAAAATTCGTTTTAATTCTTCAATAAAATATATTTTATTTGACACAAAAATGACGATATGGCTATTCAAATACTCAAATTCCGTCTATTCCGGGATTTTTTATAAATATGTAATAATTTTGTGCTGAGGCCCTCGCATATTTGTTCGATACTTTTAAAGTATCGGTTTTTTTTTTTAATTTTATAATTGTATCTATTTTTTCTTCTATTTCACAGTTCACAATACTCTTATTAATTATTTTAAGTGAAATAGTTTTTCCAACTAAAGTTTTTTTTTTTTAAATTGCTGGTGGGAGTGGTGTGAATTAGGAACACGACATAACCTCCGTCTGTTTTTGCTGTCAAATGACAGCTTCTGACATTTTGGTACTAAAATAAAAAATTAAAGCTTCTCTCTGGCATTAGGATTTTTATAGGGCTTGAATTACGATTGTTACGATGATATAAAGTGTATAAATATTAGCCTCAAAACAGTTTTCCACATTAAAAATAAAATTATAAATGACCTATGTGACGGTAAGACACTTTTGACGTACGTCACTAGCCCTGCGTCAGATAAATAGCGTGATCTTCCTTACGCAAATATGTAGAGAGAGCAACAGGACTGTTTACATGTTTACTGTTTACAAATAGATAGCTATTTAGTAGTCTTTCGAATTATTAATAGATCCACACGCATAAATTAAAAAAACGAACTTTACTATCAAACAAAATATGTATTTCATTTTTTAAGTTTAATTATAAAAAAATATTCTGTATAAATACATATATACAGGGTGTTCCGTCTAAACCCCACATTAGAATCGTATTTATTTGAAAATTGGTACATAGCCATAAACCATTAAGTCCTCCTAAATGAAAATATTTTCAAGATGGCGACACTTTCGGTTATACCGGAAGTCGGTCTCAACTTACTTATTTTAAATGGAAAGGTAAATCTTTTACTGCGTTTTTTGATTAATCGGGTTATTTTAAGGAAGTTTTCATCAGCTTTCCCTATACCTAAATTTAGCCGTTTTTGAAATATTTGGAGTTTTTTAAAAAAATTTGGATCTGCACCTTCCACTTTAAAAATCGGTGACTCTGTCATTTTTAAAGATTTTAAATTCGTTTTTTTGGCGTTGAAAGAGAAAGCTTAGATCCTTTTTCTAATGTTTTCAAATTTTGAAAAAAAAATAACATAGCCCAAAATTTTAAGATTACTTTTGTAATAATTCAAATACTCATAACTCAATTTTTTCAAATAAAATACCCCAATTTTTATTTTACTAAATAGAAGAGAATATAATTATGCATTAATCTGTATTAACATTCCCTATACCTAAATTTAATAATTTTCAAGTTATGGACTTTTTTTTTAAGACTACAGAAAATTTATTACTAGCCACACCCGTTTTCACATAGTTTGCTATGGAAAACAAAAATGTCAAAATTTTCTCTAAACAAACGTCTACAGTAAATTACTATTTGAGAAATAGTGCCAAAATATGAAGAATCAAGGTTATGCAAACTTAATTATTATTACCATGCGATCATTATTTAAAGCTAACAAGTGAGAAAAATTTATTTTTGTATAAATAAATTAATGAAATCTAAGTTTGAGTAGCTTTGACTCTCCATATTTTGGCACTATTTGTCAAATAATAAGTCACGTTTATTGAGAAATAATTTTGACATTTTTGATTTCCATAACAAACTATACGAAAACGGATGGGGCTAGTAATAGATTTTCGGCAGTCTTAACAAAAAGTCACCATAACTTAAAATTTATTAAATTTAGGTATAGGGAATGTTAATACAGCTCGATGCAGAATTAAATTCTCTTCCATTTAGTAAAATAAAAATTGGGGTACTTTTCATTTGGAAAATTTGAGTTTTGGGTATTTGAATTATTACAAAAGTAACCTTAAAATTTTATAATTTGTTAATTTCTTTTTCAAAATTTGAAAATACAGGAAGAAAGATCTAAACCTTCTCTTTCAAACGACAAAAAAACGAAATACAATAACTGGTGGAGGGCTGATTACAGCCCCCGACAAAACCAACATTCGTACATAAAAATTTGATAATTGCTCAAAAGCTAGCGCCCTTAAGATAAAATGGAAAGAAGTTACGTCAACTGTTTTAAAGTACCCCGTGTTCAAAACTGCCCCCCTCTCCCCTACATTTCTATCACTTATAATATAATGTACTATTCTATGTCTTATAGATAAGTACCTATCAGATTTAAGTGTCTACTTTTAAGTTTAAATTTCCAAAAAAATTAAGCTTGAAAAATCAAATTTATTTAAAATTTAAATTTGGCCATAATTTATTACGGGCATTATCAATGACACATCAATTAATTACAAATGCTTAGTCTTCATCTCATTGCATCACAAGTATTTTATTTACATCGTAGTGATTACACCCAAGGCTTAATCAGTGTTATTATACAAATATTTTTTATAAATAATAATATCTTTTTCATTCAATAATATTTGAGTTATTGCGGAATGATCCACCAAATGACCAAATATTTCACTTTCTAGGAATTCTTTATTTATTATTTGAAATAGTCACCAATGTTATGTTCTAAACGTTAAAACTACCCTCTACTGTTCAGAAACTGTACTATCAAACGGGTTCTACATTTAAACTGTGCTTTTTATGAGGGTTGAAAAGCTTTGTATCACGTTGTACAGAGGACTCTCACTTGTTTGCAGCATGATTTAATCCGGTTTTTGATATCATTATTATTTTGTAATACTGTGGCGAAATAGCGTTTTACGTCAAAATAATAAATTACTTCAATTTGTTGTGAATGTGTTAAAGGCTTTGGAAATAAAAACTTTTGTTCATTGATAAAAATAGATTTATTAATTTTTATTGTAAGCTTGTTATGCAGTTGTGTTAATGATAA